AAATGTGGGTCTTCGTTTTTCTGGTCTTCGTTTTGTAGACACCCATATAAATAGTGTCTATAAAACAAAGACCCTTGATAATTTCACAAACAACAGTTCAAATAACCTCGTAATTATGATTGTGTGACAGCCTGGTGTAGTATCTTTAAAAAAAGAGAAAAAATAGGGGTCTTCATTTTTCGGGTCATCGGTCTTCGTTTTTCGCACAAACAGACGCCCAAAAAAATTCGTAATTTTGATTTTGTGACAGCCTGGTGTATTATTATCAAAATTAAAGAAAAAAAATAGGGGTCTTTGTTTTTGGGTCTTCAGTCTTCGTTTTATAGACACCCCCTATCGGCGTTACAGGTGAATTATAATTAATTTATAACAATAATTTCCAATGCAAAAACAATTAATATAGGCCTATATGAAATCAACAGATATGTAATTAATACAACAAAAGTTGTATGTTTCGATATTATTCTCCTGAAGACGATTGAAGCATCTCAATCGAAACGTCGAGAATTTCTCAATATAATAACAACAGTTCTTTTCAGAACTACTTACGTGGTGTACCGCAAGCTTCAACATATATATTATTTCTTCGCCATGCAAGCCTTCAAGCAATACTTTGTTTCGATATTGTTTCCGATTTGAGTACAAAGATAATAATAGGCCTATTCTTTTATTTTTTTTAATGTTGAGCTTTCTAATGAAAGCTCGAGATACAATAGCATGAACGGAGTAACAACTTAGAAGTCAGGGTGCAGGCTGTACAGTATAGATAATCCCATATAAAAATAAAATAAACAAGAAATCGCATTGGTTATTGGTCAAACTTGCAAGATTGTATTTAAATGAGGTACAGTAATGCATGTACTATGCATATACCATTGGTAAAGCATAGTACATATGTTACTGTTTTTCATTTGAACACAATATTTTAATGTCGATTCTAGGAAAGCATTCTAGTTTAATAATTAAGTTTATTGTTCAAAAGATGTAAACATAGGCCTACATTTGAATGATTTTTTTTTCTTATTTTAAAACTACTGTAGTTATATATTCGTTAAATGTGTATTGATTTGACCAGTTGGAACATTCAGAAAGTGTCCTCTTAATATGGGTTGGCAGTAGTGTTAACATACGGTAGGCTATCTTTCCTCTCGTTCTGAGTATACTGTGGTATACTCTATGTATACATAGAGGTGTTCCTATGGAGGGGTTCCCACTGTACCTATTTGTGGCTCAGCTTGTTTCACCCGGAGGGAAAAGAATAGGGCCTACTGTAGTGCAAAGTATTAAATATCTGAGGCAAATACTAAAATATTTTATTTATTTTATTACAGTAGCCCTGCGCCCCTAGATAATAGCCTATGTAAAATCCATGTCTACTTTCAATGCCGTAGCCAAGATTTTCAAACAGTGCTGGACAATATCAGGGTGGACCAACTTTACGCGCAAATTCAAATAATTTGGACCCATTTTCCGCAAAATATGAAAAATCTGGACCCATTTTCTAAAAGTTATGCCCATTTTAGGATAAATATTAGAAATCTGGGCCCATTTTATGTATGAAATTGCATTAAATTTGGGCCGATTTTGGTGTGGACCCCATTCTTTGTGGACACATTAAAAATTGTGTGGGACTCTCCCAACTGTCCCAATAGCTGGCTACGGCATTGTCTACTTGCTGTTAAGAGAAAGGGGCCTGGCATTATGATGTTAATCATAAAAGGTATAATTATGTAAAATGAAGTTACTACATGACCTACATTATCGCAGAAGTACAGTAGTAGAAGTCTCAAGTTGTACTAATTATAGAACATCAGGTTAAAAAATGTCAATTTGTGTTAACATGGCTGAATCTTTATGGCTATGTTCTCACACGGCAGCTATCGGTTAGCAGGATCCGGATCCTGCTAACCGTTAGCTGCCGTGCATCCATACGAGAAGATCCCGATCCGGATACTAAGAATATGATGATCGAATTACTGGCCAATAAGAAACTGGAAATTGTAAACGCGTACGTGTGATAGGTTGATGATAGAAACACGCCTAACGTGCTAACCGATAGCGCTTGTGTAAGAACGCCCGATCGGTTACTATCCGATCGGACGTTCTTACACAGGTGCTAACGGTTAGCGCTAACGGTTAGCTCCCGATCCGGATAGGGGCTCTCGTGAGAACCAGGCTTATGTTGCCTGTCGCCTACTTGTTACAGTTTTGATACATTTTATAACATTTGTTGAAGTTACTAAGCAGCAGAGTAGCTTTTCACTGTATGTGTAGTCAAGTGTACTCTGTACACATAAATTTAGTTAAAATTTCTCTAATTTTTACTGATACCTTGATTCATTTATTCCATAAGGATTATAGCAAGGGGATTTATATAACAAGTTATATACCATTCAAAAGTTAATCGAAAAAAGAAAATGATTATTTAAAAAAAACCCCAAAATTAATGTTTGCCACTACTCAGAGTAGTAAAAACATGTGCATACTAAAACAGCCTATATAATATTAAAATATTCGCCACTTTAGGACGCTTAAATTGGATTTTTACGTTAAAAAAACTGAAGTTATCTGTCATTATTACTTTTAAGCATATCTAACAGTGTATATATATATATTAAATATAGCTAAAATATATATTTTATTTTTTGACCACTAGATTGCGCTTTTAATTGTAATTTTTACTTTTATAGACCCATGCTATTCGTCATATTACTTTTATTAATGGGACTACTAATAAATAACAAATAATGACTAAAAATATAAATTTACCTTTTCTGGTCGATAGAGGGCGCTGTAGACGTAAGTCCCTACCTGAAAATATTCATTATACGATTCATAGCACAAGTAGTACAAATGTGCCAAGTTTCATGCTTTCATCACATAAGTGCCGGATTTTTCGACCTGTACGTAAATATTCTAACTGTTGTTCAGAATGTGCATATCAACCAGATAGGCCTAAGTTACCGGATAAATCGATATCAATGGATCGAATTTTTAAGGTACGTTAGAAGAAAAAGATAGTAAAGAAGTAGGCCTAGATTTTAAAATTTGATTTATATTTAAAACCCACCCGGACATCCTCCGGTCCCAGTGGGATTAATTGTGTTTTCTTCTTAATTCTTGTTGTTATTACTTTTCCTGTGATGTTGTTTATTCATTCATTTTCAAGTTTGTTGTTTCAGTTATGTATAAACTATAATTTAATTTATTTGTTGTACAATCAACAGTGTAGACACACAAATTACAGAATAAAAATAAAAAATATAAAAAATTTACGTAATCAATTAAAAACATAACATTATAAATAGGGCCTACATAATAAATTATTTAACTAATTCATATGTAATTTAAAAAAATGTTCAATGGAAAATATCATAAATAATTTAATTTTCACAAATACAATTATTATAAAGCGATGTAATTCTACGAAAAATACCGTTTCTACAAACACAAACAAAATGTTCATTTACCCAGATCAAGTGTTTTTGTTATTATGATGTTTTTGATTAGGCCTATTTCTTTTTCAGATATTTTTTCTGGCTTGTATAACTGCTGTATTGCTTAATGTAATAACATGGATTCCAAATTGTAATGTAATTCATAAAAGAACAAAAGGCAGCAATACCCAACATACAGTATTGCACAGGTAAATATGCCTACCTTGACTTTTATGATATCTATTTAACTCTAGAACTTACATTTTTATGTTTAGGCCTTAGTCATTTTTTGCATCCAATTGTTCACCTAGTGGTATGCCGCCAACAAATTATTTGTATCCCGCTTAGATTCCTAAAGCTTTTAATATTAAAAATAAATACATGTTTGTTTTTAGCCAGATGTGAATAAGTTGCTGCACTTTTCCACAGAACTTTTTATTTTATATATTTTTATTAAAGGCTTCATGTTTCATAGCCGAATGGGGTTTAGCATATTTACGATGATTCCGGTTAGGCTTTTACTAAAAAAATAATGCGTATGGTCAGATAAACATAAGCTGAGTTTTTGTTTATTAGATGTCTTGCTTATTTACTTACCGTACCGTTTCTTATATTCAACCGAATTCATACTTTGTTTTAAATTTTTATATTGAACTGTTTATTTTTCTTTATTATTAGAAAGTTGAATGCCTCTGAAAGCTTGCGTTTTTTAAGGTGCTACTTTAACTATTGTTTATTCATTAACACAAATTGCTTTTACATAACTATATTAGGAATATGGTAACACAGCCCGTAGGCCTACGAAGTTGCACGCCGAGGAAAAACATCGTGTTTTTGAAAACTTACAAAACAGGCGGAACAACGCTAGCACGAATACTTGAACAATATGCTTTCGACAACAAACTAAATGTGGTCATTAAAGAAGGAAAACAAAAACATTTGCCCGTTACAAACTTGATTAATTTTAATTCTAAGATGAACTTCGTACCCCCGATGGGCGTCAAACAAGGAGATTATAAAAATTATAAGTACAATGTTTTTGCGCTACATGCTCCATATAATAGGCCGGTTTATGACTCGTTTATGGAAAATAACTCGATTTATGTGACTTTATTACGAAACCCGGTCTCTCAGTTCGAATCTGCTTTTGATTTTTTTAATGTTGGGGCAGCCGCTATAAGAGACAGTTCATTAAATAAAACACAGAGGTTACAGGTTTTCTTTAAAGATCCACTTAAATATTGGACTCCATTGAAAAGATCTCAGCGCTTAATTTCTCGTAATAGTCAGATTTGGAATTTGGGCGTTGATCCTGCGAAATGTCCTAATAGTTTTGTTGTTGATTATACGATTAAACGATTGGATAATGAACTTGATCTAGTAATGATAACCGAATATTTTGACGAATCATTGTTATTACTGAAGAAAAGGCTTTGTTGGGAATTTAAAGACATTTTGTATTTGCCTCGAAACGTGAGAAGTTCGCGCGCTACTTTAAATGTGGACATTCGTAAAAATATATCAAAGTGGAATTGGATAGACACGAAAATATACTCTCACTTTCTCAAGCGTTTACATAAACTTATAAAGGACTATGGTCCAAAATTTCAAGACGACTTATCTGCGTTCCGTAACATGACTTCATTTGTTTTTAAAACATGTGTTGCTAATGAAAAAGTGCAAACATTCCGTAAGACAAAAAAGATTGCTTTCGACATGGTTCGTGGTAATGTTACCGGCCATGGCGGAATTTGCAGGCGTGTTGGTAAATTAGACGAATGCAATTTTGGTAATGGTTACATTTTGTTGCTTGATTTAGCTTACATATGTGAGAGTGTTACCTCCGGCACTACAGATTTGAATCCTCACCTCAAGAATATGATGAAGGGAAATACAAATAGAACTGTACGCGGTGGGGGTGGTGGTGGTGATGCTGAGGAACTTGGTGAATAAGCCAAAGATGCCTGTCTTTCAATGCCACTCATATACAAGCTCACTTAAAGTAAAGTAACTCAGTGGTACTACAGTAGGCCTACATATCTTATGTAGCAAATCGGTGGTTCACATAACATGCCGGGTAGTGTTGAGAAAAAAAAGAAAAAGAAAAGCTATGCGCAAGATGAAATTTACCAATATGAAACATGGTGTGTGTTCTTGCGAACTACTGTTTTTTTTTTTTTTTTTTTTTTTTTTTTTTTTTTTTTTTTTTTGTTTTTTGTTTTATTTTTTT